GTTGTATCACAAATGGATTGGAAAGACAAATTAAATATATTACTTTATATTGTTCTTGATCTTCAGACAATTCATTCTCAAGATCTTATTCACCGAGATTTACACAGTGGTAATATATTACAAAATAGCTTAGATAGTGCATATATAGCAGATTTAGGACTTTCAATATCAGTCAATATGGCTTTAAAAATAGGGTCAGATAGCGTTTATGGAGTTATACCGTATATGGCACCAGAAGTTTTTATTGGACAACCATACACTAAAGAATCGGATATTTATTCATTTGGCATAATTATGTGGGAAATTTCAACTGGAAAACATCCATTTTATGATCGAAAAGAACATGATTCTCGTATTGTGCAAGACATATGCGATGGTCTTCGACCAAAATTTGCAAAAGAAGTACCTCAACTTTATGTTGATTTGGCAAACCAATGCATGAGTGCAAATCCTTCTGAACGCCCTTCAGCAAATCAAATTCAAAAACTTTTGGACGATTGGATAAAAAATAATTTTTATAGAAATATATTTAAGAAAGCTGATGAAGATGCTAATAAACCTGAACTTAAGTCTTTAGAAGTTTCCCATTTAAATACAATAAATACAATGAATACCTACCAATACCAACTAATAAAACGTCTAAATCCTTCAAGTTCGGATAAATACAGATCTATTATTTCACAGAAAAGTAATTATGAATTGTTTAGTCCAGATTCTATAGGCTAAAAATTGTGAGTAATCATACTTATACTACTTTAGTATCCTATTTTAATAAATTTAATTACCAATAGTTTTTTGGTTTGCAATCAATCAAGTAGTATGATATGTTTTTTATTATTATAATTGGTATTATTCTTACATTTCTTATTTGGATTTGCATTAATGATAATTGTGGTGGCTGATGCTGAAATTGGCTGATGCTGAAAATTTTTCATATTTTATTATAAAATTTTTTTTTTTAGGGCCTTTTTTGTGGTCTTTTTTTTCATAGTTAAGTTAGGGTTTGGGAGTAGTATTTATTAATAAAAAACTATATGTGAATTTTAGTAGAGTTTATCGATTTAAAAAGGGACCCCAATTTTCAGCATCAGCCCCCACAATAATTTTTTGATTAGCCCTCTTATTGAACTTTTCTTATTGTTGCCTAGCTTGTAAATTCTATTTATTCATTTATTTATAAGATTCTTTTAAAAAGAAAATTAAGTCTAATTTTTGTGGGAAGTTTTTCTTAATCTTCCTTTATTTTTTGGTTTATGAAATATGCAAACACATAGAATTGTTTTGCGCTGAGTAAAATACCTTTTCAAGCTTAGTATTAATTATTTTCACTTTTCTTTCAGTATTCAAACTGGACTTTAATTGTTTTCACTTTTCTTTCGTATTCAAACTGAACTTGATATTTTCACTCTACTTAATAAGATGGTTGATCAGTCAATAAAATTTTGTTTTTAAGTTTTTTTTTAACTGTACTCTCATGGATTTTAAACGAAGGAATCTTACTTATAGGGCTTTTATAAATAAAATTGATTGGATTCTACACGTAATTAGAGTATGTATAAATTTCGAATATATGGTTAACAAGGCTATAAAATTTGGTTTTAAAAGTGAACTCCTTTAATAATTAGGGAACGTTTCCATTCTTTTTTTTTTTTTTTTTTTAAGATATGGCTTAGTGTAGATTATAAGAAAAGCTTTCATTAAAGAACTGCATTATAAACTTTATAGTATATGTTATTAGTTAACATATTTGTATCTATTTGAGATTTATTACCAAACTTTTAACGCGTACTATATTAAGTACTTTGAAAGTTATCATTATTCTGATTTGAAAATTTTGAAAGTTATAATTGTTAAAAATAAAAGTAAGGAAATATTAAGGGATTCAGAATTAAGGTTCATGTTTCTGATTTCGAATTAAATTATTGATGTATTTATTTCAAAATCAGTGATTCATCATCTTAATTATTTTGATTTATATAATAGTTAATACTTTTATGATCGTGAATTTTCTTTCGAAATTTTATATCTTTTCATATATATTTTAAAATGCCTTATATTAAAGACATAAATAGTATTTTAGAAGTATAATATAAGAATATTCTAATAGTACTCATAAAAATACAGCTAATATTCTCTCGAAACAAATTTTATGAACGGTTAGAACTATTACAAACAATTGAATTAGATCGATATTTTACTATTCGTGAAAAAGCTATCATTTTATGATTTTTTCTCAAGTCTTTATTTTTAGTGGCTTGTTTAAAAGTTTTTTTTGGAAGGCATTTATTAAATATTAATAATTCGAAAATAAGCATGTAATATTACCTAAGAATTTTAAAAAAATCTTAAGCAATCATTTGTAATCTTTAATATTTTATTACGATAGTATCATATGATAACAATACATTATCAAAAAAAAAGGTTATTCGTTTTATCTCCAGACGCCTCCTTTTTTCATTTTCTTATTTCAAAATTTCTAGTAGATACTTTGATTAATACTTCACTAACTTGGCACATATTTGAGAATTGCAATACTTAGCATTGCCAACATATTTAATTATGATTTGTCATATTATTGATAAAATAATCTATTTTTGTTTTGATACATTGATGGCTTCTTAAGACTAATTTAATATCGAAGAAATATATATAATAGATTTTATTCTATTTTTTTTTCTAATTAATAATGAATTGTACTGCAAAAAATTGAGATCGATAATAATAAAAAAAATAGCTTTAAAAAATGAAAACCAACAATTAATTACTAATATTAACTAAATATAAAACTCTCAAATAAATCTTTTAGTTTATTTATTATTGCAAGTGTTTAAAGTTTGTCGGTTTATATTTGATCGTTTTTACGATTTAGCGCGCTCCCAGGACCAACCAAAATGAAATTTCCTGGTGATCTTGATAGTGCACAATTTAGATAAAAATCAATAATAAGAAAGTTAATATTATTGAAATTGTTCAAGCACCATCCTTGTTATGATTTGCTGATAATTACATTGATGCTTAATTGTTTCGATAGATTAAAAATAAAAACTTAATTAGTGCTTGAGTAGCATTAATAATTTATTAAATGTTATCAAAATTTTTTAAATACATAAAAACAAAAGAATAGCAATGTGTTAATTATAAATAACAAATAAAAAGTATTAAAGTGCTTGAATAATAACTTTATAAAATTTTGATAAGCCAGCGTAAAAAAGATAGTTTAGAGCAAAAAGGTGTTGACCACAGTGATAACTCTCTGATCTTTTTTTACTATTTAAATTTTTTCTTTGATATAATAAATTAACTGTCCTAATGAAAAAGCATGCTTTGATCGATTAAAATACTTTCCACAAATTAAAATTTAATTCCCGACATACTTTGACCATTGATTGAGGCGCTTGAGAACGCCCTAAATTTGAAAGAATAGGATATAAATAGATAAATGGTGCGGTTGATGTCGGGTGCGTAAGATTACCTTGTTAAATTTTTATTAATTGGAGACGCAGGTTAGCTGACACATTTATAATTTTCACTTAGTGCATTCAATGTAAATGGCGCTATTGGAAACTGAATCCTGTAAAATGAAACCGAATACTGTAAAATTAAAATTCCAAAGTGTATAAAGCATTACTTGCAAATCTTAAAGTTTTACTTTGCGTCGTTCATGAAAATATAAAACTTTTTTTTTTAATTGCTATATCTCATGATACAGTGAACGAAATTTAATAATTTTGATAACATTCGAATCGTCACATCAAGGCGGATCGAATGGCACCAAAATTGCTAGATTTAAATTACTAGATAACAAGATGTCACGATTTACAGTGCTTTTCAAATTACTGTGATCAGCCGTCGATTATCCATCACACGGAAATCTGTAAAATTCCCTTAAATTCTGTTTTTAAAAAATTCCCACTTAAAAAATTACAATTCCAAAAATTCCTTGTCAATTTCCGATTCTATAGCAGTGATGGCAAATGACAAGGTCATAAAAATTTTTATAAAATGACAATAAATGACATGTCATTTTAAAATGATAATGCCATTTATTATTAAAAAAATTTATACAAAACCATGGCAAAATGACAAGTCATAAAAAATATTTTTATAAATGACATTAAGATGAAAAATAAATGACAATAATACTAATACTAAATATGTTCTTAAGACCAAGCTTCATTGCAAAGAACAATTCTTAAATAATTCTTAAACTGCTTATTTATACTATTTAATAACTTAATTATTGCTTATAATTTATCTGTATACTGTAAATAGATAATTTGAAGACCAGGAATGAAGTGATTTATATCACAAAGTATATAGTTTATAGCATTTTTAGTGATGTACGTCCGCAAAAAATTTTATAACTGATTGTAAATGCAATGAAATGTGAACTTCTGCACTTTAACCTTCATGATATTGTATCAAATAGCACTATATTTGTTTAATTATGACGAACGTTCAACTTGTAATTTGTATTGTGATAACGTTTTTTGTCTTAATTAGTGCTCCGAACGGGTCGGGTCGGGTCGGGTTAAAAATTTTCGGGTTAGAGCTAGGTTAGAGCTTCAACCCGAACCGAACCTGACTCGACCCGACCCGACCCGACCCGAACCCAACCCGAAATTTTAGGGCTAATATATTAAATTTTTTTAAAAATGAATTCAAATAGCCTTTTTTGCTCTTAAATGTTTAATAATTCATGTAGCGATGATCAACGAAGTTGGCTAATCAAATCTAAGCGCGGTATGCTTATAAACTCAGCGGGCTACTACAGTAAGAATC